AAAGCATAATGGATGCAGACACAGAAAACATATTTGAGAGATAAAAATAATGTCATGGACCCCCACCCACTTGATGTACAATATAATGAAGAACTAAAGACATCATGGGGGCACCTGGGTGGCTTGTCAGTTAAGCATCCAACTCTTGATCTCGGTTCAGGTCATGATCTCACAGTTCGTGAGTTCAAGCACTACATCGGGCTCTGTGCTGACAGCACAGAACCTGCTTGGGATTCTGTGTCTCCTCTCTCTCTTCCCCTCCCTGATTGCTCTCTCTCCCTTTCCTTTTTTTAAAAAGGCACCATTGGCTTGGTTGGCAATTCATGTCTCTGTTCTTCGCTTTAGAAGTTTCTACATTGTCCCTAATGTATTCCTTAACACAAAATGAAAAATACTCTGCCTCTATGAGGACATATAAACTCAAAAACATGCTAACTGCTCCATAAATCTTTTGCATATTTTGAATCAGATGCAGACTGAGCATTTCATTGTATTAAAAAGAAAGGAAAACAATAAACTAAGGGAAAATATTTTCACCAAATTTAATCATTAAAAGGGTAACAACTATAGTAAAAGTTTCATAGAAATTTATGAGAAAAAAACAGTAGCTCAATTGATAAATGTATAACACAAAAACTAAAAAGTGAATTACCAAAGTAAACAACTATGTAAAAAGTGTTTATGGCACTTCAAATGTTGACATTATAAATTAGTGCAATGTTTTCAAGCCAATATAATAATACATACAAGGAGGGGCGCCTGGGTGGCTTAGTCGGTTAAGCGTCCGACTTTCGCTTAGGTCATGATCTCGCGGTTAGTGGGTTCGAGCCCCGCGTCGGGCTCTGTGCTGACTGCCAGCTCAGAACCTGGAGCCTGTTTCAGTCTGTGACTCCCTCTCTCTCTGGCCCTCCCCTGCTCACGCTGTCTCTCTCTCTCTCTCCCCTAGAAATAAATAAAACATTAAAAAAATAATAATAATACATACAAGGAATCTAAACAAATTTCTATAACTTTTGACACATTTATCCTAATCCTTAGAGCTTATCTTAAGGAAGCAATTAAAAATAAAGGAAATATATATAATTTATATATATATATCAGTTTATTAATTATGTGTCACTACAACATTAAAAATTGATTTGAGATGGAAATCCAATAAAACTTAGTAACTTGTGCTATATTATGCAATCAGTTATTATAAGGACTACATTGCTGGGTAATTTAAATGAAAATCAGGATAAAATTTCATTTACTGTAATTACAGTTATTTAAATTCTTATGTATTCAAAGAGCATAAGGGAACATGAAAAAACACACATCTTAGATAGGTTAGGGGATTATGATTTTTGCTTTTTTTTGAAAAATATATTTTATAAATACGTTCCAAAACTTTCAAAACACATATAGGAAATAGGAAGTCCTTTCCTCTCTTAGTAACTGCCTGTCCCCATGCTTGCACTCAGAATGGAATATAATTTTGGTGTCTCTGACCTGGACCTCATCTGAAGAGCCAGGTACTAGAAGTCCCAGGGTGACATTAGGGGGATTCCACAGAGCCAGAGAGCTCCAGTGGATGACAGGTTGGTATGATATGATTGGCATTTTGCCCAGGTTCCCAAACATTTGCAAAGAATGCCAAATTCTTTTGAATGAGACAATGAGCTTAAGAATAATCTCCCTTTGTTGGTAACAGAAAAAAAGACCTAAAATATACTTCAAAACAGAGTTATCCAGGAAGAGCAATTCCAAAACCCCAACAATTAAACAATGAGCTTTGAACTATCAGTTTAGACCCAGGAAAGGAAATCCAAAGCTCAGGATAGTTTGCTCCCCCAAGAAACTACATGTGCTACCACAAGCAAAAAGGCTACAGGCACTGTCACCAGGAGAAATAAATCAGAAATGTGGAAAACTGGCTCCATTTAATACAATGAAAAACAGTATTCTGAGTCTCCCTTTCCTGAAATTTTTGGGTTTTTTAAAATTTTATTTGTTTATTTTAAGAGAGAAAGAGAGAGAGCAGTTGTGCATGGGCAGGGGAGGGGCAGAGAGAGGGAGAAAGATAAAGCCAAGCAGGTTCAACACTGTCAGCACAGAAACCAACATGAAGCTCAATCTCACAAACCATGAGATCATGACCTGAGTCAAAATCCAAAGTGGGACCCTTACCCAACTAAGCCATCCAGGCACCCTGTGACATTTTCTTTTTAAGGTAAGTCACTGTTTGACTCCTATAGCCCCTATACTTGTTCTTCAACTTCCAAAGCGCCAACTAATTAATTTTTGCTTTCCTTATTCACTGCATCCAAACTCTGTTAGGGCAAGGACCTAACAAGTTCATTCAGAGGAAGGGAAATGATTGATGGGCCTATCCTCAGTGTAACTGTTCACTCTCCACTCCAGGATATCCTGTCAACAAGGTCATCCTTCATCCCTCTACTTCATGGTGGGTATGGGACTCAGGCCAGCCCAGTACCCCCTGAGCACAATGTCTGTAGGCACGTGACCAAGGAAGGTAAGCCAGTTCTTTGCTCCTTTCCTCTTGCTGCCTTTGCTTTACTCTGGATCACAGGAAATTGAGCCTGATAGGTCTCTGGCTGACAGGAAGTTGCAGGGCAGGAGAAAGGGGATGCTAAGGGCCAATTTTCAGTCATGTAATCCATTTGGAGGATGGAGTCAAACACAGAAGGACAAAGATGAAGGAAACAGGGAAAGAAAAAGAACCCTAACACATTCTTTGAACTCCTTGCTTTTGAACTCTAGACCTAACATTATATCATCATATATGTTATTCTCTAAACCAGGACACTTGAGAGTAAAAGGGGCTGCTAGTAATACATAAGTCAGAATAAAAGGTACAAATTAGGACTGGCTCAGGCAAAGTAGAGTTTATAGTCACTCCACCCAAAACCAACTCAGCCATTGGACTTTATAATTAATTGAGTCATAAAATTGTCTTTGACCCTTAACCTACTTTCAGTTGATTTCTGCCACTAAACTTCCTGACCACTGCATGAGGGAAAGGTTTAAATCAGTAGAATTATTTATAAGTGGTAGGATTTCAGGATAGATAGAGGAACATCAACGTCTGCCTAACTTATTCTCCACAATACGTATGTAAAGTTATCCTCTACAATATGTATGTAAAGTTTGCACATTTTTTGGTACAGCCATTCCAGGAAAATTATATGGAATTTTGGTTGCTATACCCCCAAGAAGACTGAAAAAGTGATAAGAAAACCAAACTCACCCACAGAACACACATCCTACACTCTGAGGCTAAGTGAGGCTCTTTGGCGATTTTTTTTTTTTCACTTTAAAGTGGCCCTCACTTAAGTTTACTTTCATTTGAACATAAATTTGGGGATATAGAATTGATCACCCACATCTTAACAATCTTTCCAGCGCCCAGCCCCTATCTAGGGATATTATTATAGCACCACTAAAAATACTGACTTCTGAGAACCGCTTTCTTCTTTAGCCTTTTCCCTTTACTTTTTCCCATTACCATGTAAGGTCTCAGTTATTACAGCAGATGAATAGGCTCTTGGCTAGTCTAGTTATTCAACATTCATTTACAACCATTTCTATTAAAAAATCACATGTTTCCTAGGGTGTGGTGAGAAGGGTATGTCACAGCTCACATGACATTTGTTAGTCCCTTAGTTCAGCACACTCATAGCAGTTGCCTAGTTTATGACACAATAGAACACCACAATTCAAAGACTGCATCTCCTAAGTTCAGTAGGAATGCTCCCTAGGAGTGGAGGTCATTTTTATTCAGGAGCCTTTCATAATTCAAGTGTTTGAAATTCCATGAGCAGCTAAATCTTTGAAAAGTTGTAAGTGATGGTTGTGACTAACTTTTCATCTCTGGAGTCTCGGTGTCTCTTCATCAATAAAAGCACAGTAAAAGCACAGATGTATCAAGAAGCAGAAGGAAATATACAGAAGCTTTAGTAACCATCTCATCTTTTTGTGTCTCACTGCCCATTCCTTTTTAAAAAAAAATTTTTTAATGTTTATTTATTTTTGAGAGAGAGAGAGAGCATGAGTGGGAGAGGAACAGAGAGAGGGAGAGGGAGACACAGAATCTGAAACAGGCTCCAGGCTTGGAGCTGTTAGCACAGAGCCCAACAGGGGGCTCAAACTTCGGAGTGGCTAGATCATGACCTAGGCTGAAGTCAGATGCTTAACCAACTGATCCATCCAGGTGGCCCTCACTGCCCATTTCTTATACTGCCACTTCCTCTGTTCACAAAACATGCAATTTTTTGAAAAAATATCCCTTTCCAGAGGTTAAACTGACACAATATTAAGTAGAAATCAAAGTATAAGCACATATAAATTAAAATATTCACAAATCAAAAGTATTATATATACAAGCAACTCTGTACAGTGTTCATTAGGAGTCATTTTGTTCTGTAAGGGAAATTTATCTCATTTCCTTTTTTTTAAGTTTATTTATTTTGAGAGAGACAGAAACAGCAAGTGTGGAAGGGACAGAGAGAGAGGGAAAGAGAGAGAATCCTAAGCAAGCTCCATGCTGCTAGTGCAGAGCCTGATGTGGGGCTCGAACTCACAAAACTATGAGATCATAACCTGAGCAGAAACCAGGAGTCAGAAGCTTAACCAACTGAGGTACCCAGGCACCCTTCTCCTCATGTCCTTTTTAGTAAACTGTAAAATAATTTGTTTTACTAAAGTTTGTCACATAGACTTTATGATATAAGTAGCAATTATAATCTTAAATTATCTTGAATGCTGGGTGGAATTCTTCACCTCATTCAGGTAAGAATCTATTGAATAATAGATAAACTTCCAAATCCATTATCTCTGATGATAATAAACAGCAGGTTTTACCTGATTATTAGCCTTTAGCAAAGTATGTTGATGGAGACTTTCTGGGAGAACTGAGTAATAAAGGAAAGAAACAGAATAAACAAAACTTAACATGAGTTAAATAAAAAGAGGATTACAAAAGCTAATAGTTTTACAATCTAGATGCTTGGGTTTGCTTGGTCACTTTCAGAGAGTGTAGTTTCCTCTGTAATTACAGATGGCTCCAGCAGTCTAAAGTGTTCATTTAGGGATGGAAATGATCTGATCATGTCATACATCCTCACACGCAGCCTCACTGAGACTGCTGATGGCATCGACTTCATTCTCCCAGTGGACAGCGACAGTGACTTCAGCACTTTGGAAGCTTCTTCCTGGAAGATTTTTGTTCTGACAGTATAGAGGATAAAAATTTGCAATCCCTGGCAGATAGAATAATAATTTAATGTTAGATCAGTGTTGACATAACAGACTCAGGGAAGTGATTTATTTTACTCTGCCAGATACCCTTCTCATCATGCTCAACAACTCCCCAATTAGAGTGATTACATCTGCAGCTGCTGTGCACTTTGTTGTCTCATGGTGTTGAGACCACATTCTTCTCATATATGAAGTGCTACATGTAGGAAGAAGAATTGGAAGATCTGAATTCAGGTCTGAGTTTACCACATGTTGGCTATGTAACTGAGATGCTCTTTTTCTTCCTGACAGAAACTGGGTGTCCTACAACTCAATTAAATTCTGACACTAACAACCCAGAGTTAGTGTCAAATTCCACAGGTTAAGGCTCAGGCCCATGCCTGCCTTCACTTCAGATGCTAGTGGCAAATATTGGGTCTCCACATTACCCACACTTCTGTCTGACTTGACTGCCATGACAGGGGTTCCCATAACCCACCTCCCCACTTCAGATTTGATAATTTACTAGAAATACAGAACTCCAGAAAGGTCTTTACTGTTTACTATAAAGGATACAACCCAGGAACAGCCAAATAGAAGAGATCATAGAACAAGGTGTGAGGGGAGGGGCATGGAGCTTCCATTCTCTGTCCAGGTGCACCACCCTCCCAGCACTTCAATATGTTCACCAACCCAGAAGCTCTCCAAACCCCTTCATTTAGGGTTTATTATGGAGGTTCCATTATGCAGGTTTGGTAATTAACTCATCAGCCATTGGTGACCATCTCCTGCCCCTCTAACTTTCCTGGAGGTTGAGGGGTAGGGCTGAAAGTTCCAAGCTTCAAATCAAGGTTTGGTCTTTCTGGCAATAAGCCTCCAGCCTAAAGCTTTCCAGGGACCCCAACCACCAGTCATTCATTAGCACACAAAAGAAACTCATATCACTCCAAAGATTTCAAGGATTTTAGGAACTCTGTGTCAGGACCTGAGGACAAAGACCAAATATTTTATGTTTTAGTATGGCAGAGTAATTTCATTCTTTTCCTAACCTGTTTGGTTTTTTATTTCTGAAGGAGGTAGATTGATTATGGGTTACCTAATTCTTCTTTCAGTTCTAACATTCTATGACTGTACATTTCTTGGAGTTTTAGTAATATAACTAAAAAATTAGTGAATTTAAGGACAAAAAAAGTTTTTAAGCACTTCTATTTGTTGCTTTTCTGTCCTTTACATATAAAGTTCAGATGTGCATGAGAAATTAGTCCATAAAAGACTGAGTACTATTTTCTATACACTTTTAAAATAAAAACTATGAATTAATGAAGTCTTATTGGTATCAGACACCGCTTTTCCTTTAATCCTAATCATTTAATCCTAACACCAACTCTATAAAATGAGCCTTACTGTCCTTACTATCCCCATGTTAGGTGAGAAAACTATTGCTCAGATAAATTAAGTAACTAACCTAAGATTACCCAACTAGTAATCAGTATAGTCTTGCGTTGAACTCAACTCCATTTGGCTCCAAAACTTTTCTATCCAATATACTACTCAACCTCTTGCTTATAACTACAATAGAAAGATATTATAAAGTATATGATAGCATCTAAGTGTTGCCTGTTAATTTCTCATAAATATCCTTTGTGAAAATAACAGTTTAAATAATATGAATAGTTGAGTAATAGTATTGTGCCAATGTTCACTTTTTGATTTTGACAATGTACTAGGGTTATAAAAGATATCACTGGCAAAAGCTGGGAAAAGAGTACATGTGAACTCTATACTATTTTGCAACTTCTTGTTTTACACTATTTCAAATTTAAAGGCTATTTTTAAAAATCCATCATGTCTCCATCCTGGCATCTTGAGCATAAATAGAGCTCAAGCCTATTTATTTCTAGAACCATATCCTATGAATACTATTGTAGGAGACGTTTGGTACTGTGGTAAGATAACCCAAAGACCCTGAGAGTCTATGTATCATAAAATCAATACACATTGGCAAGAGACAGACCAGTTATCTGGCCAAAATCAGGAAAATTAACTTGATTGTTATCCAACAGGTGGTACCTATTTGTCTGGGGAAGGCCTTGATGACACAAGGAAGTATGCATAGGGACACAAAAGTGTCCACTGACCATCCTGATTGTTCAAGGAAGAGAGATTTATTTGGAAGACATGAGAAATCTGGTACTCTTTGTGAAGTACATATTTCATCTTTAAATTCTAAGGTAAAGACAAGACTGGATGGATGTCTTCTTGTGCAACAATTAGGAAAAGACCTAGACCATTGAGAATTCATAAAGAAGCCATCCTGTGAAACTGTCTGAGTGGCATCCCAATATTTCTATATTCCCTAAAATCCTGAAGTGTTATCAAAAAAGACAAAATGCATGGATTAAACTAATTCTCACTAGCAAAAAGATTGAATTGTGTTTTTAAGTAATATCTATAGCACGTAGTAACTGTCCATTAGAATTATAGCATTCTAAATCTAGAAGGAGCCTTACATGTAAACTACTCATTTTGGTGTACATAAAAATCAAACCCTTGTTTAAAGTGAAGATTCCTAGTTCTTACCCTGTAGATTCTGATTTTCTAGGTAAGGGATGAGGCCTAGAAGTAAACATTTTAGTATACTATGTAAATTCTGACCTATGCAATATTCAGACCCACTTTGAGAAACACGGTATCAATTTTAGCACCCTCGTCCATTTTATATTTTACATACCTCACTCAGAGAGGTTGTATGACTTTGCTAAAATCATATGAATCATTAATGGTAAAGCTGGAACATATCCTAACTCTCCTTTTAGCCCAGTTCTCTTGTCATATGGCCACCCTCAATTTTGCTAGACAGTATTAACATTTCGTAATGAGCCTCTATTTTGTAATGTGCCACTCATATCATGGAGAAGAGAATATCTTTGACTATACCTTCTTTCTGGTACTTTTCTAAACTTCTCATCACTCTAGGCAACAAGCCCATGAGACTAAGTTTATCCTATTGATAACCCAGACTATGTTTATCCTCTTTATTTCCCTTAGGGAATTTCCACTGGGTGTTGACAGCAGTGGAAAACTGCCTTATATCCATTTAAATTTAGTGGCAGGCACACATTCAGTGTCTGAGGCACTAATTCTCAAAAGGCACTGGAGAGGGCTACCAGGAATAGAGGGTGAAGTGCTTACAAACATTAAACACGGTGGTAGCAATTTAAACAGCCAAACAGCTCCCACATGGCACTCTACAGACTTTCATAATTTGTGGTCCAGGCAAATTTATGTAATGCTCTTCCAATAGTTTCCATTTTGTATCAAAGACTTGCCTCCTCAGTGATATTTGAGGATGGCCAGAAACAACCAACATGATAGCAGCTTCACACAGTGGTTACTACTGTCAGTGACAAGATCATCATCAAACACTGCAGTTTCTTCACAAAATATTAGACAAGTATAGTCCATACTGATATTAAGCAAAATGTTATCTACTGTAAAAGATACACACAAGCATGTTTCTTGAATGAGAGAACTGAAAATCTAGTTAAATAAAACTTTTATACATAAAAAGTTCATTTCTGAGTACAAGAAGAAAGAGGACAAACAAACTTACAAAACTATAATTCTATTTAATTTGATTAAATTATATATATATATTTTTAAATTAATAGTTGAATTAGTAAAGCTAGAATTAAAGTCATCACTTCAGGATTTTAAAGCCTATAAGCAAATAATCTACATGGATTATGCCAATGTCACTCAATAATGTATATGTATATCAAATCATTATGTTATACACCTTAATTTAAAAAGTTATAAAAATGAACTATTGGAACCTCATCAAGATAAAAATCTTCTGCACTGCAAAGGAAACAATCAATAAAACTAAAAGGCAACCAATAGAATTGGAAAAGATATTTGCAAATGACATATTGGATGAAGAGTTAGTATCCAAAAATCTATAAAGAATTTACCAACCTCAACACCCAAAAAACATATAATCCAGTGAAGAAACGGGCAGAAGACATGAATAGACACTTCTCCAAAGAAAACATCCAGATTGCCAACACACACATGAAAAGATGCTCAACATCACTCATCATCAGGAAAATACAAATCAAAAACCACACTGAGATATCACCTCACACCAGTCAGAGTGGCTAAAATTAACAACTCAGGAAACAACAGATGCTGGAGAAGATATGGAGAAAAGGGAACCCTCTTGCACTGTTGGTGGGAATGCCAGCTAGTGCAGCCGCTCTGGAAAACTATTTGGAGGTCCCTCAAAAAATTAAAAATAGAACTACCCTATGTCCCAGCAATAGCACTGCTAAGAATTTATCCAAAGGATATAGGAGTGCTGATTCAAAGGGGCATGTGTACCCCAATGTTTATAGCAGTGCTTTCAACAGTAGCCAAATTATGGAAAGATCCTAAATGTCCATCAGCAGATGAATAGATACATTCATACATACATTTATATATATAATATATATACATATATTTTTATATACAATGGAATACTACGTGGCAGTGAGAAAGAATGAAATCATGCCATCTGAAGCAACATAGATGGAACTGGAAGGTACTATGCTGAGTAAAATAAATCAGTCAGAGAAAGATATCATATGTTTTCATGTGGGTCTTAAGAAACTTAACAGAAGACCATGGGTAAAGGAAAGGGGAAAAATAGTTACAGAGAGGGAGGCAAACCATAAGAGACTTTTAAATACAGAGAACAATTTGAATGTTTAAGGGGGATAGGGGAGAGGGGAAAATGGGTGATGGGCATTGAGGAGGATGCTTGTTGGGATGAGCACTGGGTGTTATATCTAAGCTAAAAGCCATGGGAATCTACCCCCAAAACCAAGAGCACACTGTATATACTGTATGGTAGCCAACTTGACAATAAATTATATTAAAAATAAATAAATAAATAAATAAATACCATTATATCTGTAATTATTCCCAATTATTCCACAATAAAAGTTTTTTTTAAAGATAAGACACATAATCTTATAAAATTGTAAAAAAAAGAGAGAGAGAAAGAAAAAAATTCAGCCAATCCCACAGGGGTTTAAGCTCCAGCAATAATTGTAACATTGTCCATGTCAACCATGGTGAGGGGCTGCCTTGAACCTATTGCATGGGAGGCCAGGAATCAGAAGGTGTTGGCCAAGCCAGTTGCTGGACAAAATCGCTTCTGCTTAGAGAAGAGGGAATAACATGGTCCAACCCTACTATAATTATATTCTATGAACTCCACTCCAGGAAAGGACATAATAGGTAGGTCATAAAGAGATATCTTTCCTCTTCCTTCAAAATGTACTAAAAATAGAGTCTCCTAAAATGTAACTAAACAATGACCTTCAAGGTTTTAAAAGAAGAAAACTTCAGGGTAGTCCAGGGTGATATCATCTCCACCACTGCATGGTGTGCTACTTTCAGACTAACCCACACCATACCTGAGTAGTGTTGAAAAGGCAGAACAGGTAGTTGAAGACAAGTCTGGCGTAATTATCATCAATTAGCATAAGGTATGCCAGAATCCAGGTAATTCCAAACACAACTGCAATTGATAACATACGAATTATCTTCTTTAGTGTTGAAACCTTTTTTGTGCTAGGTAAGAGAAAGGAAGAAAGAAAATAGGAGCTTTTTACTTACTAATATAATTTTATTTATTAATATCATAGTTACCCTCTAATTGAGAATACATATTCAGCTGTCCATACACACTATTTAACACTATTATGTATTAAGTGGAAAAACCATGTTAGGCCTATGTCTGGATAAAATATGACTTAGCAAGTTTTATTTGTAAATAAAGTGATACCTGCTTAAAAGCTCAGGCATAAACAGTCCCGTAATACTACTGCAGTCAAATTTCACACACACACACACACACACACACACACACACACACAAAATCAATGTTTTGTTTGGAAAGGAATTTTAGTTTGGTAATTATTTTGTGTATCAGCCAGTGTGCAATTCCTTTTCTGGGCATCTGGGACTTTCCTATGATGCAGGTTGATATGGGAATGACAGAGTATTAAAATGTAGAAATGTAGGAATCTGGGCTCAGTCATATGACTTACACTGGGATGTTAGCAATTGTTACACAAGCAGAAGCTTAAATGCATTTTGCTCAGTAGAACTGGCCTTTTTTAAATTGTTCTTTGGAATCCTGACTTCACTAAGCTGAGAAGCCTAAACTGGACTAATAGATGATGAGAGACCACATGGAGCAGAGCTTAAATTTCCCAAATGAGCAGCTCCCACTCTAAACCAACCAACCAAACACCATCAGGCACAAAAATTAGTCATCTTAGATCATCCATCCGTATTCAAGCCATCCAAGACCAGAACAACTACCTGATAAATACTCAAATTTATGACAAATAAATATTTGTCACTCCAAGCTAAAAGTTTGGGGTGGTTTGTTATTCAGCAAAAGCTAACTGATACATGAAAGATAATTTGTTAAATAATTAAATTGTGACCTGATTTTCACTGTAACTAAGCCAACTTAAGAACCATGATCTACCCTCTAAAATTAGAAATACAAATTTGTTGCTGTCTGTGGCCAAAATGATACTGTTTTGTACAAAGTAAATATAACTAACATGCAATTAGACTAAGAAGACTTTACAAAGATTTTTCTGCATTACTAGTAAAGTAAACGTTGGCAAGATGACCAATGACAGTCTTTTCTCCTCACATTGCCCCTCAATATGGACTATCATTCAGATAAGAAAGAGGATACTTACTCTTGATCAATAAAGCACATATTTAAGATGATATTCCCACTAATGACAGTTTTCTCCCATCTGAACATACCAAATGGATCCATTTGGTGACCAACAAAGCTCACAGATGTGCTTATAAAGGATGTACTGGGGTAAACACAGTCTTATAAAATTAAACCTCCTGGATTCATGGCTTCATTAGCACCATGTTCTATCAATCTGCATTGTAGAAGGTGGGGATAAGGACAGTATATTTGTGTCATGGTTTCTGTTATTTGCCTCTCCAACTGAAAGCTCTTTTGTTTACCAGGTATGACAATGAAAATGCTTATTGGAGTCAGAAAGGTTATAGAAAGGAGAGAAGCAATATACATGGGAACTGATAATCCAAATCCAGGGAGCATACATCACCCCTGCAGGAAATGTAGACCCAATGTTGCCAGATGTTCTAATTTTTTCAAAAGAAAATATAATTTTTAAGTGAACTCTCCCAATTTTTAATGTTTTAAACAAATTTTAAAAACTTAAAGCCATTATCAGATTCAAGAAACACGTGTAAAATATAGCCTGCAGCTATACAGTTACCAGCATCTCCTCACAATCTTCCAACTTCTTTAATTATTCAAATCTGATTTCTTGAATAGAGATTGGCAAAGAAATTTTTTTTTCTTAAAGTCTATGGGCTTAGTTTTTAATTAGGCTCATATAGCACAAAAGCATGTATATAATGCACTGAAGATGAAGGGAAGATCTACTTTCGGAGACAAGTTTAAAAGAAAATCTGCCTTGCAAACGACATATTCTTGCCATTGTACCAGAGTCTGAAAATTCTTTTGGGGACTGTGGACATATTATAGTACTGTATTATATATCAGATGAGTAGGCCTGAAGTTTCCCAGTAATGGGTAATCTTACCTTGTCAGATTGTTATTATTCTTCCATATCACTTTGACTATGATGATAATATATACAACAATATTGTGGATGAGGATAAGAGTCACAGGTAAGATGAATGACCACAAAAATGGACTAGTTACCAGTGCATTTTTTTCTTGAATTGCCAGCCAGCAACTATGGAGAGAAAAAAATTAGTAGACTACAAAAGGTATACATACCATTCTCTATGTTATTAACATTACTGACATTCATTTTACTGAAAGAACTGCTAAAAGCCAATATCCCTTTGCACTCTACTGTATATTTGAAATGGCTTTCAAGAATTCCACCACTAGAAAAAAAATGAAATGCATTAATTCTGTTGTATTTCTTGATGTACGGGCTACTGGAAGGAAAGTGGCTTTTCAGTCAGGCAGTGCCAAATTTACATGTCACTCTATCAATTACTAGGTGTCTAACTTTAGGCAAGTTATTGTTTTATTTCATTTTGGAACATATAGCACATCAAATGGCTCAAAATTTTAAAGGTACAAATCATCAGAGAGAGATAACTACTCCTACAACCATCCCTCCTACAACTATCCCTCGTCACCTAGTTTCTGTCTCCAGTGTTAATCAGTGTTTCTTGTGTATTCTTCCAGATTTGGGCTATGCATACACCATCAATTTTTTTCTGATTTTTAAACAAATAATAATATGTCATACTTCTATACCTTACTTAACAACATCTGTTGGAGGTCACTGCAGATAAGATTATAAAGATTGCCCTCATTATTTTTTATAGCTGCATACTACTCCATTATTTTGTTATACCATAAAGTATTTACATAGTTTCTTACTTTATAAAAATATTTTAATAGTTATTTAACCTAACTGCATCTATTTTGGGTTTTTTGTTGTTATTGTTGCAATTGGTGATGGTGATTTTGGTGGTGTTTTCTCTCATCTATGAGAGGGGAGACACAGAATCTGAAGCAGGCTCCAGGCTCTGAGCTGTCAGCACAGAGCCCAATGCAGGGCTTAAACTCACAAACTGCGAGATCATGACCTGAGCCCAAGTCAGATGCTTAACCGACTGAGCCACGCAGGCACCCCAGGTGGGCATTATTATTAACAAAATAATGTGAGAATATTTGGCACATATTTGGCTTTCAATTAATGTGTGTTTTTGTTCCCCTGCAGGCAAAACACCATTATTATACATGTCAAAAGATTTCTAAACTGTTTTGCATTGAAATGTTGTTATATTTTAAGTTATTAGAAATCCAAATGACCTAGAAGGAAACTGGGAAGATGTTCAAATCTCTGTAATGAATTAAAAAATAAAAAGGAGTGCCTTCATCCATTAACAGATAGAATAGGTCTATCCTTAAAATAATGAGAGTGAGCAAGTTTATCTTCAGGAATTTAGGCTTTCCTTTCATCTGTAACTGGAGGCCAATGCTCCTGCCATTCTCCATTTTGCTATCTCTTACACAGAAGAAATAGGAGAGCACTTGGCTGAGAATTTAATGAAATCCTGCTGAGGGCTTCAAATCTCTAGAAGATCCTTTGGTGGCTAAGCAAGTGGCTATCAAAAGTTTTACTTTAAAAATAATTTTTTAACATTTATTTATTTTGAGAGGGGGCGAGAGAGAGAGCGGGGGAGACACAGAATTTGAAGCAGGCTCCAGGCTCTGAGCTGTCTGCACACAGCCTGATATGGGGCTCAAATTCACGAACTGTGAGATCACGACCTGAGCCCAAGTCAGATGCTTAACCAACTGAGCCACCCAGGTACCCCACAAGTGGCTATGAAAAGTTTTAAATGAAAGAGATGAACACATTTCTTATCTAGACAGTCTAGAGAAACACAGTTTAAGAGGGGAGGAAAGGATAGAGACAGAAAATGAACAATACACCTCTATTGGATAAAGGCAGACTTGTTAATTATGAAACAATTTGACAAATATATATATATACATATATATATACATATGTGTGTATCTATACATGTGTGTATGTGTGTCTGTGTGTGCATTCAGACTTACCTGAATGAGTCTTGAGTTGTTTCTACTTTCAACAATACAATTTCTGAGGATTACTATTTGTACTATAGATGTGTATGTGTGTGTGTACATGACTTCTCAGCCACCTCATACCAATGGGGACCCCTGGAAGGGAAATAGGCTTAGATACCCATGGTCGTCAGGAAGTGTGCACTAGGACAGGACTCCTCACTCCCTCTTTCCTTTGTCCTTCCTAGAGAAATGGCCATGCTGAATTTGTTCTCATAATAGCCTCCCCTATTGTTATTCTAAATTTAGTAACTCATTTTGAGAAATAGACTGTCTAAGAGAGGGATGGCTCCTACAGTCAGACTAACCCTTATAGGTATGGAGTGGAATTTCTAGAATTAAGATTGGAGAGCGCACAGTGTGGAGACTGATCTGACGAACGGCTATGGACCTGAGGTCTGGAGAGCATCACAAGTGGACCTCAGATGGACTGTTTAATTCCATGGTGATTTTGCCATGAAACATACCATGAAGATAGCTCTATCATATGCAGCATACAGTTGAAAAGAATTTCCCTCTTGGGCATTATAATTTCCCATGTTACCTCAATCCTTCAGAAGGGTATGAAACAACCTATATGATGGTAGTACCAAAAATCAGGGGATGGAGCATTAAAGAGGAGTATGTACTGCCCTGAAGTCACCCTTTAATTGGGTCCTTGCAGAGATAGCAGTATATGAGGGGAACTGAGTTAGAGGTTTCATGTATGACTGGCAGAGCTGGGAGCAGTAAGGGAGAGTGTGGGATATGGTGATATAATTGTTGGGAGGGTAACTCAAGAAACCAAAAAATAATCCCTTCTCTTTCCACATACATCCTGAAGAAATGTGACCCTTGATGCACGTGTATAGGGTGAAAGGTGGGGGATGAGTCCAAGATGAAGCAGATATTCATGTTAAACATCCTTTGTCTCTACCCAACTTCTCTTATTATCAGTCACCCAGTGTCTTTCCTAACACCTACAGCGTACTCAGGAAAGAATCTGCTCTCAATTATTTATAGCTCAATGTGAATTTATTTAAGATGGTAGGCTTCTTTCTCCTGAAGGCCTTTACAGGAAAGGCCCTGTCTAGCCCTGTCCCAGGGTTAGGGAAGGAAATCAGTGATGCTATATGAAGTGAATTAACTCTCCCGTGAGATATTTGCATCTTACCCCTGTTCTATAATTGTGGAATTAAAACATTTTTAACTAATTAGAAGATAGTTAACCCTAATTAAACATAATTAAACAGAGAAAATAGTACCTGGAGTGTTTGGCCTCTAAAATCAGGCTAGGCAGATAGCCTCCGAATCTACAGCTGGGCATGGTCAGCCCTGGAACTAGGCATACGCCCTGACACCACAGACTTTACTTAGGTGTACTGGTATATTTCCTGGAATTCTGTGGTGTTTTTTTTAAGTTGCTTTGGGACTTAAGGTAGATCTGGGGGTGAGAATGGCTGGATTATAAAAGGAAAAGGGAGGATAAACTAAAGAGCATTTGCTGTTTGGCAGCAGAGACACATGTAAAGAGTTCAGCTGAGATTTCTTCTCTCCTAACTCACATAAAGAGCAAACACCAAACAGTCAGTTATTTCCATTAGTAACAGTTCATTATTCACGCTATAATCACAGGGAGAATTAGTAATGTGTGATAAATCATCATCAAGTGTTCATTATAATCTTATCAACATAGAACTGGTCATAAGAATGGATAGTGCTTTTCAAGTTATGAAATATTTTCACACTTGCTTGACCCATCACCAGGACCTCAGAGTGGGTATTACTGTCAATTGTTATTCCCATTTTCTAGATTAAAAAAAAAAAAAACTAAGATAAAGGGTTACTAAGGATCACACATATTGTGTCCTATGATTTTCAGGCTTAATAAAAGAAGACAAGGCTAATATAAGAAAGCTCAGATTATAAGTATAGAAGGTAATTACTTGTTTTACAAAAGGATTTATCATAGGAAACTTTCATGTCCTATATTTAAAATATAAAGCGTTCTTTGAGAATTTGAAATACCCACTTATAATATGATAGTTATAAAGTGAGATTCATATGTTCATTGATATTTGAATTCAATGTCACTGAACAATTATACTCTTATGTCAAGTAAATGAACATTTTTTAAAAATGTAAACTTACATTTCCTCTTGCCGGTAGCTTAACTCCCAATGTGGCCTATCCTTATTCTGAGAAAAAATAAGTCCTATTGTCAGAACCACCACTACAGCTGGGACTCCTATATGGTAAAAGAGAGGCACCAAATTAATAATTTACTCAAGACTGGAATTAATTATAAAAGAACACAAATGAATTATACATCTGACCATTTTTAAGACTGTGTCATTCTTTCTACTCTAAATGTACTAAATGACCCACAGATGTAGGTCAATGGGGGACATAATTTTTCTGTAACTGTTTGTCTCTCTCTTTTATTGTTGGCTGTACATACTAACCTGATGCTATTTCTGGTTCCTTTGTAACACTTACCATAATTTCCATTCTTAAATGGCCTAATTCCTCTTTAACTTGAAGAAATTTGAATTTAGATATCACAAACACAATTCTTTTCTGGAACCCAATAAATTTTTCAAATTATTTTTCTTAGAGTCACTCTGATTTTCTTGAAATACTTCTTTTAAAGTAGCTAGGGAAGGGACACCTGGGTGGCTTACTCGGTTAAGTATCTGACTTTGGCTCAGGTCATGATCTCATGGTTCATGGGTTCAAGCCCCATGTTGGGCTCTATGCTGCTGACCAGCCTGGAGCCTGTCTTCGGATTCTGTGTCTCACTCTCTCTCTGACCCTCCCCTGCTCATGCTGTATCTCTCTCTCTCAAAAATAAATTAAGAAAAAAACATTAAAAAAATTTTAAAGTATCTAGGAAACTCATTATATGTGGTCTAAATTTCAAATCAAACTACTAGAGATATTAAAGGAAATTACCATCTCGAGGTAAGATTACGACGTGACTAGTACAGCTGCCTGATCACATCTGTCTCCTTCCCAGGAGTGTGAATGCCAGGCAGAAGGCACTCCTGGTGGTGCTGGCTTTCCATCACCCCTACCTAAAGGACTTGAGCTGTTAGGCCTTCAGTAGGTATTTGTTTAAATTAAGTTATTTCAACAAAATTAAATTTCTGACTAAGTAGAAAAGCAAACACTTGCCCCATCCAATTAAAGAGATGAACAGAATGAAATGTTGAGGTAGAGGCTTCAAGGTCCTAATTAGCAGGAAATAGAGCTGGGCGGCACTGATCCCGGTCCAGGTAAATGTCACTAACAGGAAATAGTGGAGCAAGGCAGTCACCACAGTGCAGGTGGGATTCGAGATGAAAACAGTATCTTGAGCGGGTATTTGATTTTCAGTAGAGTCCATCTTATTGGTGTCACTATCATTTTTTATTACGCTATTGGAGTTTTCAATTCCAAACACGAAGAGGAGGTTAAAAATCAACATTGATGTGCACAGGCTGACGAACACCCAGGTTACTGAGGTTTTTCTGACGTTCCTGAAAGCAAGTAAACATAATTAAACAAATAAATAAAACAGCTGCAAAAAATAAACTCTAGTGAAATTGTGAATGAACAAAGAAATATTATTACTCAGTGTAAATTCAGCTCACAGCCCAGTGGGCCAGCTGGTAAAACTACCTTCCCAACTGTCCTCTCATTTCCACAGAGAAGTGAGTTAGAGAACATAGTTCAATACAACCTTTCTTTTTTTTTTTTAAGTTTATTTATTTATAGAGAGAGAAAAAGAGAAGAAAAAGAGAGCAGAGGAGGGAGGAGAGAGAGGGAGAGGGAATCCCAAGCAGGCTCCGTGCTGTCAGCTTGAAGCCCAACATGAGGCTCGAACTAAGCCACACAGGCACCCATGATACATCCTTTCTTGAAACTCTGTTGTAATCAAAGGTGACCCCTATTCTGCAGTGAAGACTTCCACTGGATTCTACTATCTGGTATCTAGTCCCCTCAGGGCCAGCCTGTGACTTGATCTACCTAATGAAATGCACCAGAAGCCTGGAAGCCAGGGCCAACTTATTCAGCAAAGTAGTGCTTAGGGCCAATGATACTTTTATGGCCCACAACAAAGTTTTAACTCCTTTTAAAATCAAAAGGGAAAGGAATTAACTTTTATAGGTCAAAGAACAAATATGACCATATAATATTAATATATTCACCTTTATACCAATACAGTTGTAAAACATTTTCTAATTTTTTTTTTTTTTTTATGGAGGAAATGTCCCATAAAGGCACTCTGCCCATGAAACCCATAACAAGCTTTCTTTTCCCTTCATGCTTCTGGAAGTTCTGAGCCACCAGGTAAAAAGTCTAGCTAACCTGCTGAAGAAACCACATAGGAATGCTCTAGGACTATGTGGAGAGGGAGAAAGGCCCATCTCTCCCAGCATACCAGATGAGCCCCAGATTAGTCCAACTCCACCCACCATCTGACTGCAGTCTCACAGGAGACCCTAAGAAAGACCACTTGAGCCCAAGTTAAGTCCTTAGATATAACAAATTAATGTTTTAAGCCAGTAACTTTTAGGGCAGTTTTTTCTACCATAATAGACAATAGGTTCTACTCCAGATTTGCAAACATATACAAAGGTTATCTATAGAAAGACTCTAAATGGATTTTTTAAAATTTCAAAATGGGAAAAAATTTCACATTAATAAGCGAACACATGTTCAAATGTAGAGGAAAAAGTCTTGCATTTTAAAAAGTATTTTATATAGGGACACCTGGGTGGCTCAGTCAGTTAAGCACCTAACTCTGGATTTCAGCTTAGGTCATGATCTCATGGTTTGTGGGTCCGAGCCCTCTATGGAGTTCTATGCTGAGAGCTGGAGTCTGCTTGGGATTCTCCCTCTCTCCTAATCTCTCTGCCCCTCCCTCACTCCAGCACACACACACACACACACACACACACACACACACACACATTCTCTCTCTCAAAACAAATAAACATTTAAAAAATAAATAAGTAAAATAAAAAGTCTTTTATATAGAAAAAAGACAAGTAAGGATTTTAAAAGAATAAGGCCAAATACAATTTTGAACTACTTTTTTAAGTTTAAAACAAAATGGTATAATGTTTAGCATACATTACATTTAAAGAGTAAGGTTCTCATAAACATTTTAAATTAAGTAAAAATATTTAAAATGTGTTTCATGGTCTATTGCTACTAATTACATTCTTCATAATTTGAGAAGGCTGACAATTATTATCCCTCTGAAAGGCTTACACTCAACAAAATTTCACCTGTGTCTTTTCTGTAAGACAGTTCATAACCCTTTTTGATGGAATATCTCCCAAAGACTATTGTTCCAAGGGTGATATTTTAGGAAATACTTGCTGGACAGTCAAAAGGTCAAGATGCTCTGGATGATCCTTATAATATAAAACATGCTTGAAGACTGTTCCTTTGTTTGAAGATATAATTTCTGGGATAGGGAGGTAGAACAAAGTATTCTTTAAACCTTTGGGGTTTTTTTCCTTCTCAACTTTACCTACGATCTTTGCTAGAAAAGAACAGCCTTTTTTCATTTTGTCTGCAAGCTGGCATTGTTTACCAGGAGTCTTTAAAAGGCAGTGGGAGAGAGAGAAAGAGAGAATGAGAATGTGTGTGTGTGCTCATGCTCACATGTATGTTCTGTGGTGGCCTACCTGTGTATTTTCAGATTAGCAGAGAATTCAAGGTTGCTCTAAATAATGTTGATTTCAAATGTCAGGTTTCATATTCTCTTTAATGTACATGTATTGTTTGCCTTAATGGTTAAAGGCAGATATATCCTTAAGGCCCCTTTAATGACATATTACTAGTCTCTGTATACTATGGTATGCAGTCTTATATTAATGAAAGCTAAAGAATCTCCATTCGCTACCATCTAAGCCCTTTTGGGTTTTTCAGACTACAAGGCCTCTTCAAATAACTATTTCCCTAAGTTTATTACTGTGCTTAAAGTTCTAACATTTTCAAGTACCCATTTTTAATATCTCAAAATCTGATGAATAAGTCTGCTTACTAATTACATATTCCCTATGATTTTATTATGAACCTTCTCAGTCTTTGGATTTCTACAATGCATAAAAAGTTTATATTTAAACAGAACTCTGTTAACCTTTTTGATGTTTTAGTTGAGATTTTTCTGAATAATTCAAAATCTCATTCAGTCTTTTGAAAGTTTTAATGACCAGAACTGCAAAAAGTACTCAAAAATATACTGCAAAAAGTATATAAATATACTTTTATATAAAAGCAAAGTTAGTTTCTAATTTTTTCCAATTTCAGACAGAAATTGTAATTCACAGGGAGAACACGCTATTTTCAAATAGCCTGGCTCTTCTGTTTATTACTATATTCTGTACATTAATATTGTGTTATTTTTCTATGTAATATATAATTATATAATGTATTATAATTTATATATTATGTAGCTTATATATCTTATATATATAAGTTATATATAATTTTCTATAACTTATACATATTATATGTAATTTATATATAATTATGTGGGACTTTGTCCATGAACAAAGAAAACTATTTGATTCACAATTAAAAGTCAATACTATTTTTTAATTTTTGTTTTTGTTTCCTGATGTGGTTTTAGTAACATATATGGCAGCATAACTATGCTAAGAAACATGTTGATAGAGAATTAAAAAAACCTGAAAACCACTAGTAGTGAAATTTTAGGCAAAGAAACTAGTTATGTAGCTACTGCAACTTATTCAAATGGGTTCAAAAACTGTTCAAGTATGATTATGATAGAAATACAAATAAAAGGGGGCCCAGGTAGCTCAGTTGGTTAAGTGTCCAACTTCACCTCAGGTCATGATCTTGCAATTTGTAGTTTGTGAGTTGGAGCCCCTCATCATGTTCTCTGTGTTAGCACAGAGCCCGTTTCAGTTCCTCTGTCCCCCTCTTGCTGCCCCTCCCCCGCCTGCTTTCTCTCAAAAAATAAACATTAAAAAAATACAAATAAAAGGACAAATATAAGAACCATTTCATTTTACATAACAGGCCCATAATTCCGTGGCATGCAATGCTCATTCAAGGCACTTACTGCTATTTGTAATCTTATATTTAATTCTGTATATATTTGTATAACATCTGTATTTGCCAAAGAATATAAATATCATGAGAGATGGGAGCTTACTTGCTTGTTCATATTTTGGTATTCGGTTTGTACATGGTGCTTGGCCCATAATTAGCACTCATTATAAAAACTTACAGTGAATGGCAAGAAATTCATTATGTGTGATAGGTATAGAAGAGAAATCAAAAGGAGTGCTGGCTCTTTGAACAAATGGCTTTTTCTAAATATGAGGCAGAGAAAGTGAAAAATGTGCCTGCGTCATCTTGCTGTACCTGAAATTAAAAAGTGCTTAAAAACTGATAGGGACATGCCAAAACAACATGAAGAGCCTCCCTCTGATTACATTGGAGAGTACACTTCTTTACAAAGGAATAGAGAGAGAATCATTTTCAACCATCAGGGTAATACTATATTCCAATAAGAACCATTGAGTAAAAGTTGGGAAACAGAATAGTCACACAATTCTAAAGTATCATCCCATGGATTACTTACTGCTTACAAAGGGGAAAATATTAACCTTTAGGGTGGAGAATTCCTGTAGACACCACTGTAAACAAGGAATCCAATTTAATACAACCAATAATGGGACAAACTAACATCATGTGCTTCTTGCTATATAACACTGAAAAAGACTTAATGATTTAGTATTCTTATCAAAAATATTTAACCTGCATCTAATCATGAGGAACATTTCAGACAAATCCTAAACTGTGAATATTCTACTTTCTACAATATAACTGACATGAACATCTCAAAAGATTTAATGTCCTGACAGACCAAAACAAACAAAAAAGCAGAGGAAGTATTTTAGGCTAAATGAGACTAAACAGCCATGACAACTGGGGTGCCTGAGTGGCTCAGTCAGTTAAGTGTCTGACGTTGGCTCAGATCATAATCTCATAGTTCCTGAGTTCAAGTCCCTCATCAGGCTTTGTGCTGACAGCTCAGAGCCTGGAGCCTGCTTCAGATTCTATGTGTGTGTGTGTCTCTCTCTCCCCATCCCCAACTTGTGCTCTGTCTCTTTCTCTCTCTCAAAATTATTTTAGTATATGTGCTGCCGAAGCGAGCACTCTCTCAAAATTAAACAGACATTTAAAATTTAAAAAAAAAAGAAACATAACAACTAAATGAATTAGGGGGGAGAAACCACTCAGCTATAATGGACATTAATGGGACAACTAAAGAAATTTGAATATGTATAATATACTGACACCGTAATATCAATGGTAAATTGGTTGATGGTATTATACTGTTGAAGAGAATACCCCTGTTCCTAGGAAATGCTTGAAGAATTTAGCAACTTTTCTGTGGTTTTAATTTTTTAAATAAAATTTCAGAAAATATTTTCAAACAGCAATGCCTTCAAAATAAAAATTTCTGAATCTACACATCTGATAAAACACTTATGAATGAATTTAGTAGGGAGAAATAATTTTGAAAGAAAGATGAGTTCATCTTGGGACATCTTGAGTTTGAGAGGAGGAGGACCACGTAGGAATATACTCAATAGTCCCACTTATTCTACAGATATTCTTCTACTAAGAGCCAGGTACTGTGCTCAGTCCTGGAGATACACTAGTCAAAACAAAACAAGCAACAATAGCAACAACAAAATCAGAAAAGTTCACTGTCCTCATTGATTTTCATGGTGATAGGAAAAACAGAGAATACCCAAGTAAACTAATAAATAATAAACTTATATTTACGGACTGTTAAGAATGTAGCATGTGAAAAAAATAACAAGTGCTTTAAAAAATTGGACCTTCAGTGAGGAGGTCAAGGTGTAAAGAAATATGTATTTATAGGTAGTTTTTTAAGTTAGATTTCTTAAAAAAATATGTATTTATTTTTGAGAGAGAGAGAGAGAGAGCATGAGCAGGGAAGAAGCAGAGAGAGACAGAAACAGAGAAGACAAAGCAGGCTTTATACTAACAGCATGTAGCCCCATGTGGGGCACAAACCCACAATCTGTGAGACATGACCTGAGCCAAAGTCGGACACAAAGGACTCAGCTACCCAGGTGCCCCTTAAGTTATATCTTTTTTGAACCATGGAATTCAAAGACTTTTTTTGAAAGTTTGACCATTTGAAAACTTAATATGTATTTTATTTTTTTTAATTATTTTTTTTAATGTTTTATTTATTTCTAGGAGAGAGATAGAGACAGCATGAGCAGGGGAGGGTCAGAAAGAGAGGGAGTCACAGACTGAAACAGGCTCCAGGTTCTGAGCTGGCAGTCAGCACAGAGCCCGACGCGGGGCTCGAACCCACAAACCGCGAGATCATGACCTAAGCGAAAGTCGGAAGCTTAACCGACTAAGCCACCCAGGCGCCCCATTAATATGTATTTTAAGTTAGCTTAATTTTTAAAAACATTGTTTAGCAATGTTTTGTTCTTTTATAAATGCAAACTGGTAGGTATGTTCTATTCAACACAAAGAAACTATATAGCATTAATGAGCTATGGGACCACAATATTTTTACATGACAAACTTGTAATTACATAGTATGTAATTTTTCTTCAAAGCACTTACCACAGTTTTAATTATATATTTATTTGTATGTATTTCTTAGCCTCTCCAGAACTGAGTGTCCTCTTCTATAAGATAAACTTGTTGAACTAATTCTGATTTCCCTTTTAGCTCCAAGAGATTGTATTCTGATGAAAATATGTGTAGAGGAAATAATATTAAGATAGCAACTTTTCTTATAAAAGGGGCTTGTTTCCCTTCTTACCTGGTGACAATCTGAAATACAATTGTAAGGACCAGACCAGTAATGGACAGTGCACATCCAATCTTGGATATGTAGTCTAGTGATTCAGGATATTTATAATTCTTTTTGAAACTCTGAAAAATAAGTTAAGACTCATATTTTTAAGTAATCATTCCTGAAATGTCTATGAAAGTCAACATCATAAAAAGTTACATTGGTCAAAATAACCAGAGAGTTGCCAGATATGTCTTTTTATAAAACTGTTGATATATTTTAAAAAGAAATAAATTAACCTCTTTTCTCTAAGCAGTTTATATGAATTAGAGTGTTGAAAACAGTTATCTAACCAATTCAGTTAATGAAAACATATATACTTTACCTCATTGTTTAAAATCAAGGTTGTTCGGTAGATCTAAATTGGCTAAAGCTACTTCATTTATCCCTTACATTATTTTTATGTGTATCATCCACGAGGAAATATGCATATCTAAGCTAATGCACTAAAAATAAACTTGCAGAAATGTTTTCTGGACATGGAAAGATGTTCATATAATCCTGCTAATTGTTTTAAAAAGGCAGTTTTATTGTTGTCCAATATACCTATATCTAGCCCAGTATTTTAATATATATTCATAGATAAGTATATTCTGTGGAGAAGTAATAATGGAGGTCACTGGGTGGTTAGGATATATATAATATTTTTTAAAATAATTTAGAAAATTAGAAAGTAATATTGACATAACATAAAAGAAATGTAGAAACATTTTAAAAACATAGATTTCTCTTAACTGCCAGTACCCCATATCATACCCTATATCTTGAAATCATATCTCTTCTCCAGAGGTTACTTTTTTTATGTACTTACAAATATTACCTATGTCTCTTGAACAAATATATAGCAGTTTGTTATATTTTAATCTGAATTGCTATTTTACTTTTTAAATTTTTAAATGTTTACTTATTTTGAGAGAGAGAAAGAAAGCACCATGTGCATGTGTGTAGGGGAGGGGCAGAGAGAGAGGGAGAAAGAGAATCCCAAGCAGGCTCCCTCTATCTGTGCACAGCCCAACACAGGACTTGATCTCATGAACTGTGAGATCATGACCTGTGCCGAAATCAAGAATCAATTGAGCCAACCAGGCACTCCTGAATGGCTATTTTAATTCAAGATGTCATAAACATTTTTCCAAATCAGCATATTTCTGTTTAACACATAAACTTGCATACCTTATGCAATAAATATGTATTTTTTATAGGAAGAAAATAAAACTAAAATAATTTTTATTTCTAAAAATTAGAAAACAAAGACTTCATGTTATTTCATGTGTATAGTATATTGACTAAATACTAAAGAATCATAGAATATACACAAATATTCAAAGCTTAGAAATCATCTATTCACTAACAGCCTATCTGCTCCTATTTTGAATACAATTAGAATCAACCTTTTTAAAAATCTGGCAACCCAGGACACCTGGGTGGCTCAGTCGGTTAAGTGTCCAACTTTAGCTTAGGTCATGATCTTACAGTTTGTGGGTTTGAGCCCCATGTCGGGCTCTGTGCTGACAGCCGGCTCAGAGCCTGGAGCCTATTTCAGATTCTGTGTCTCCTTCTCTCTCTGACCCTCCCCTGCTCACAATGTCTCTCTCTCTCTCGGAAATAAATAAACATTTTTTAAAAAATCTGGCAAACCAAACTAATTACAAATGTGAGTGGTAGGCATTGAGGATGACTCAGACATTACTGAGAAAAAATAGCTGAAAGCCTGATCTCAGAAAAGAATAAAAATAACTATGACAATGTATTACGTATCATTTAATATATATAGCAAACCAAGCTTTACACGTCTACTGAATGATACTAATGATCTTAAAGGTATCAAAAAAGTTAAATTTTTATCTTTACCATTTTTTGATTAAGAAAGCAGAGCTCTCTGTAATATGTTAGAAAATAATCAAAATCAATTAAAATAATAAAGATTTGACAGTTAAAATGAGAAAACTATAATTTCACACCTGTCAGAATGGCTAAAATTAACAACTCAGGAAACAACACATGTTTGTGAGGATGTGGAACCCTCTTACACTATTGGTGGGAATGCAAACTGGTGCAGCCATTCTGGAAAACAGTATAGAGGCTCTTCAAAAAATTAAAAATAGCTACCCTATGATCCAGCAATTAAACTACTAGGTATTTACCCAAAGGACACAAAAATGTTAATTTGAAGGAGTACATGCTCATCAATGCTTCTAGAAGCATTATCAACAATAGCCAAATTATGGAAAAAGCACATATGTCCATCAACTAAGGAATGGATAAAAAAGATGTGGTGTGTGTCACACATACACACAATGGAATATTACTCAGCAATCAAAAAGAATGAAATCTTGCCATTTTCAAAGACATGGATGGAGCTAGAGTGTATTACGCCAAGCAAAATAAGTCTGTCAGAGAAAGACAAATACCATATGATTTCAGTCATTTGTGGAATTTAAGAAACAAAACATATGGACATAGGAGAAAGGGGGAAAAAAGAGAGGGAGGCACACCATTAGAGACTCTAAACAGAGAGTTAATGGAGGGAAGATGAGGGGGGATGGCTAAATTGGTGATGGGTATTAAGGAAGGCACTTGTGATGAGCAATGGGTGTTATATGTAAGTGATGAATCACTGGATTCTGCTCCTAAAACCAATATTACACCATATGGGGGTGCCCAAGTGATTCAGTTAGTTGAGTGTCAGACTCTTAATTATAGCTCAGGTCGAGATCTCATGAACTGTGAGATCAAGCCCCAAGCTGGGCTCTGTGCTGACAACATACAGCCTGCTTGGGATTCTCTCTCTCTCTCTCTCTCTCTCTCTCTCTCTCTCTCTCTCTCTGCCCCTGGCACACATGCACATGTGTATTCTCTCTTTCCCTCTCTCTCCCTCTCAAAAATAAATAAATAAGCTTTAAAAAAAGGAAATGATATAAAAACTGTAAAATAAATGCAGGAAGGAAGGAAGGAAGGAAGGAAGGAAGGAAGGAAGGAAAGAAGGAAGGAAGGAAGGAACCTATCTCAAAAACTTTTATAAAGCAAGTACAGAGGAGTTAATATGGCAGAGTAGTATGGGGACCCTGAGCTTGTCTCATCCCTGAAATGCGGCTAGATCAGCATCAAACCATTTTGAACACCAAGGAAACTGACCTGAGTATTAATGCAACAATTGCATAATTGGAGCCAGACAACTTGGCAGGTGTGGAGAGATGAACTCAGGGAAAGAAAAGACAGAGAGCCACAGAGGGTAGGGAGCTCTTTTCACAAAGAGAGGAAAGAAAGAGAAAGAGAAAGGGGAGGAGTGCAGCACAGTGAGACCATGCAAGAAAAGCACTTCCCCTAACAGTACCTGGAGAGAAAGAAAGAGGAAAAAGTCAAAATACTCACAGGAGACTGAAAACAATCAACACCACTGATGGGGAGAAAGAAGAGGTTTTAAATACTGCCAGGATTCTATAAACAGTGGAGTCCAAAGTCTGAAGTTTCAGAGCTCAGTGTTCTGGTACGGAAGTAGAGCAAATCCCCAGGATTTGCCAAGAGGAAGCAGTGCAGTCTGAGGGGCCTGTATACCACATAAGGAGAAGTGGTTCCCCGTATTGGAGTGCATTTGGTAGAGGCCATATGGGCTCCCTGTAGGCAAAAGTTCCAGTGGACCTGGAGGGTGGCCACGTTTATTGATATAAGAACAAAGACCCTAGAGTGCAGAGAAACCTAGTGCAGGCAGTGTGATGTGATTTGCCATAAACTCCGTGCCTCTGCCACTGTGCAATCACAGGAATATTTTCTGGGGCAAGCCAGATTTTGGCCATAGTATAGTGAGACCCTCTTGCAGAGACATGGCACAGGTCCAAGCCAAAGGGCTCTCTGAAGTGTGGGGTTTTGAAACACAGCCCCATCTGAGATAAAACTCTGGAAGGAGGTGCCACCTGGCAAGTGGATAGCTTGGACAGGGACAGGGTACAGGTGGGGAGTAGATGGAAGCCTAAGACAAAGGAGGATGCTTGATAGCAAGTCATGAGGCTGCAGGGTTCCTGTGCCAAATGTGGGTGAAGTCATTCTCACTTCTAGCATTTCTATGCATGCACACACACGAATCGACCCTAGTGTGCTAAGCAGTGCCACCAAGTGGAGAAGAGAGCCGTTACACCAAGCCCCGCTCACCTGAACCCTCCAGGCACAGCCCCCAGAGGATCAGCACAAATCCCTTCCACCTACTTATTAGTCTACACACTATAATATGCTGCAAAGATTTCGTTCTAGGGGAAACTGGATGTAACCTCATTCAGGTTTCATTCTGTTTGCTGGTTCATTTATTTGCTCATTTTCTTTATTTCTGTTTTTGCTTAGGTTCTTTTCTTTCTTTTATTTCTCTTTCCTGGATGCAGAAAGAGCAAATTCTTTTTTACTTTTTATTCTACTTTAATTTTTTCTATTCTATTCTATTATTTAAAATTTTTTTAAATTTTCTTTTCTCTTTTTTCTCTATTTATCAAGTTTCTCTCAACTCAAAAGAAAGAACAGGAAGAAATGACGGCCAGGGATTTAATCAATACAGATATAATTATGTCTGAACTAGAATTTAAAACCATGATCATAAGAATACTACCTGGGGTTAAAAAGCATAGAAGACACCAGAGAATCCCTTTCTGCAGAGATAGAAGAACTAAAATCTAGTCAAGCCAGTATTAAAAATACAATATCAAATGCATGCCATGATGACAAGGATGGAAAAAGCAGAGCAGCAAATCAGTGAAATAGAAGAATAAAATTTCAGTAAATTATTGAAAATAATGAAGCAGAAAAAAAGAGGGAAACAAAGGTCAAAAATCAAGATACAAGACTTAGAGAATTCAGTGACTTACTAAAAAGGAATAATTTTTAAATCACAGCAGTCCCAGAAGAGGAAGAGAGAAAAAGGGGCAGAAGGTTTATGTGAGGAAATTATAGCTAAAAACCTTCCTAATCTGGGGAAACATACAGACATCAGAATCCAAGAAGCACAGAGAACTCCCATTAGTCAACAAAAACTGATCATCACCAAGGCATATCATAGTCAAATTCACAAAATACATAGACAAGGAAAGAATTATGAAAT